TTATACCCGGTGAGTACTATGCCTAACCCTCCCCCACTGAGTGCCTGTTTCTCACCCACCCACTGTGTGCTATAAGTCCCTCTCTCCTTAACGTGCTAAGTCTTCCAACACCCCCGCCACCACAACCCCCTTCCCCTTTAAGCTATCTCATCCCCCCTCCCTCCTCCACCTTCACGTCGTTTCCCACGCAACCATCAAAGTAACGGACCTGGCTCTCTGCCTGGGAGACTCCCCGAGTTTATTGACTTGATACACTCGACCTAAGTGTTTACACTATATCTGAGGATGCTGAGTCAGTTCCAGGTCTCTCCAGCTCTGATAAGGTCGAGTCAGTTCCAGGTCTCTCCAGCTCTGATAAGGTCGAGTCGGTTCCAGATCTCTCCAGCTCTGATAAGGTCGAGTCAGCCCCAGGTCTCTCCAGCTCTGATAAGGTTGAGTCTGTTCCAGATCTCTCCAGTTTTGATAAAGTCGAGTCTGTTTCAGGTCTCTCCATCTCTACTAAGGTAAAGTCAGTTCCAGAATAAAATACTTGCCACAAAGTGTTTTAGTTGACACAGGGGGGGAGGGAGGGAGGGGAGGGGGAGGGGAGGGGGGAGAGAGAGAGAGAGAGAGAGAGAGAGAGAGAGAGAGAGAGAGAGAGAGAGAGAGAGAGAGAGAGAGAGAGAGAGAGAGAGAGAGAGAGAGATCGTAGGACTGCAGAGAAACAAGGTTATAGGAAGGATAGGGGATGTGTAGGCCAAGTGTCGACATTGAAGCATGTAACCACTGGGGGCAATTACCAGTCAACACTTCAAACTCCCAAAGTTCTGTTTACTAACACAACACAAACATGTGCGTATGTGCTCGTCTGGGTGATCGGGTGCGCGCACCAACGCACATACATAAACGTACACACAGACGCAGGCACTGTCACACTCGCGCACGCTTAGAGAAGCACAACTACACACTTACTGAGTGCATGACTGCCTGTCACACTACACCTCATCCAGTGTACGAGTTATAGCCTCCACCACCTCATTATCCAGTGTATAAAAGAAAATTCTGTCAACCATAGCACTGTTTTCTTTTGCAGACGATACTAGAATCTGCGAGTGTCATCCATCGAGGTCATGGTAAATCTCCAAGTTTTCCGACAGGTTGCGTAAAACAATATGATATTCAACGAGGATAAATTTCACCTACTCCGCTATGGAAAACTTGAGGAAATAATAGCTAGAACGAAATATAAAACAAATTCTAACCACGCAGTAGAGCGAAAAACTAATGTGAAGGACTTGGGAGTGAAAATGCCAGAGGATCTCACTTTCAAGGATCACAAGTGTCGCTATCACATCTGCTAGGAAAATGATAGGACGGATATTGAGAACTTTCAAAACAAGGGATGCCAAGCCGCTGATGATCCTCTTTGGGTCAGTAGGTTGGAATACTGCTGTACACTAACAGCCAAATTTAAGGCAGGTGAAATTGACGATTTAGAGAATGTACAAAGAACCTTCACTGCATGTATTTGTTCAGTCAAGTACCTTAATTGCTGAGGACATTTGAAGTCCCTTGACCTATACTCCCTGGAACGCAGGGAAATATAGGTCAAGTATAGTCCTAGAGGGACTGGTCCCTAATCTGCACACAGAAATCACTCCCTACGAAAGTACAAGACCAAGTACACCAAGTACAACAAGTCCGGGACCCAAGACTGTTCAACAGCCTCCCACCAGGCACAAGGGGAATTACCAATAGACCCTTGGATACCTTCAAGAGAGAACTGATACTTAAAGTTAGTGCCCGATCAGCCGGGTTGTGGCTCGTACGTTCGCTAGCGTGCGGTCAACAGTAATACCCTAGTTCATCAGGCCCTGATCCACCAGGAGGCCTGGTCGAAAACCGGGCCACGGGGTCGATGACCCCCCGGAACAACATGCAGGTTGGTATATATTTGTATTTCATATTACAGCTCTCTTCTATTTTCTCCTCATTTTCCTGCTCTCTATTCTGTCCTCTTATTTTCCTCCCCCTGTCCCTTTCTCCCTTCTTTCCACACACACACACACACACACACACACACACACACACACACACACACACACACACACACACACACACACACAGGGAAAGGCAGTCCAGACTGGCCTAATAATTTTACGACTGACTTTCCACGGGGTTCAATTTCCGTGTAAATTAACAACGAACAGTTAACTACATACAGTTTACATTTATACAACGGTATCACCGTTTTTTTATTACAAGCATTGGTCAATTACGTAAAATAAACATAATACTGTACAACGTCCCTTCCCCCGGCACCAAGAACTGTGCACAGGTTAACGTGACATTTTCTCCCTGGCCTTGCACTGTGAGTGCACAAACATCAGAAGTGTTGGGAGGCAGAGAGCGTCGGGGCTCAGGGACTCTCCTCTCACCAGAGCAACATACGGCGCCCTACCTCTTAAAGCCAGTATTTGCCATGAATGAATCACACGAGTTCAGCGAGTCGTAGAATAATAATAATATAGCAATCGCTTTTCCAAACCCCCAGCTTACTTTTATTTTATTATTATTATTATTATTATTATTATTATTATTATTATTATTATTATATTATGAAATTTTAAATTCGTAGTGGTGGAGGGTCGACCCTCAGTCCGCTAATAGACTAACTTTGGTCTTGAGACCCATCAATAAGCCTTAAGTGTGGTATGTTGATCCTGCAATAGGGACGGGGGGAAGGAGGGAGGGAAGGTGGGGAGGGAGAGATGAAGGAAGGCAAGGAGGAAGAGAGAGAGTGGAGTGAAGGAAGGAGTCAGCTAGGGCGTCAGTGAACGCCTAAGCAAACCTCGGCATGGTCACATCATAAAGACACCTCAGCTCTTTGCTTGTTATCTGGTAGTGATAACATTGCTGAAGCAGTGTCACCAACACACCCAGATAAGCCAACCTGTCCTGCCCACACCCCACACACTACTTGGTGCTCTCTAATAATTGCACAAGACATACTCCAGACATGCTCGGGCTTGTCAACTGCACAACACATACTCTTTACAAGTCACTTCGTGAGCTGCACATTAATACAGAAGTGTTGATATTGTCTCATGTTTTAATTATGGCTGTTTTAAAGTTCTTCAATCTCTGGCAGACTAACCTGTGATTACTTTTTTTTACACGAATCAATTTTACAGGATGGATAATGAGAACGTTCAGAACAGAGATGATCCTTTTAAAATAACTTGTTCTCTCTAGGCTGGAATATTGTTGTAAATGATCGTTGTACAGAGAACCTTTACTGCACACATAACTTCCGTCAAACACTTGGAAGCACTTAACTTGTACTCACTGGAGCGCATGCAAAAGAGATACATCGTAATCTACACCTGGAAAACCCTAAAGGGACTGGTCCCTAATCTGCACACAGAAATTACTCCCTACGAAAGCGAAAGACTTGGCAGGCGATGCAATATACCCCCAATGAAAAGTAGAGGCGCCATTAGTACATCAAGAAAAAACACAAACAATAAGTGTCCGGGGCCCAAGACTGTTCAGCAGCCTCCCACCAAGCATAAGGGGAATTACCAATAAACCCCTGGCTGTTTTCAAGAGGGAGCTGGACAGATACCTAAAGTCAATGCCCGATCGGCCGAGCTGTGGTTCGTACGTTGAACTACGTGTGACCAGCAGTAACAGCCTACTTAATCAGGCCCTGATCCACCGGGAGGCCTGGTCACATACCGGGCCGTGGGGTTGTTGATCCCCGGAATACCCTCCAAGCAGGTAGGTAGGTAGGTAGGCTAAGAGCTGTTGTCCTACCACTCCCCAGGATGCCACCCACTTACTGTTAGGGGAACAGGGACAGCAGGTGTAAGGAAACATGTCCAACGTTTTCACCCTTGCAGGGGATCGAACCCCGGACACTCGATATGCTACCGGGGGGTGGACTGATCAACCAGACTATGAATGTGACCTACACAATTACGTAAGCATAACAGAGGCCATATTATTGGTATACAATACCAACAAGTTGAGAAGTAAGACTCATGTGCAAGACTTAGGTATCTCTATTGACGAAAGGTTTCGCCTACGTACCAGGCTTCATGATTCGATTACAAAGGTGAATTTGCAATCCTGGAGAGGTGATCTGAGGTAATCAGTCCCTCATCTTGATGTGATGTGGTCATTCTCTTCAGTGACACTGACCAGATTACCTCAAACCACTTGTAGAAGGATCAAGTCTTCTAAAAAAAATTTATGTAGGTTCCTCGGTTGGTAGCGCACTCAGCTCACACAGTGAAGTCTGTGGCTCGATCCCGGTACAGGTAGAAACATTGGGGCGAGTTTCCTTAAGACACCTGCTGTCCCTGTTCACCTAGCAGTAAACAGATACCTGGGTGTTAGTCGACTGGTGTGGGTCGCACAATGAGGATAAAATTAACCTAATTTGCCCGAAATGCTCTGCATAACAAGAGGCTTTCTATATAGTATGTCATTGATGTCAGCTAGGACTTTATACGTTGTACATGTACTTGTAGATTATTATAATAAAAAAGAAGCGCTAAGCCACAAGGGCTATACAGTTGTACTTGTAGAAATAAGATTATATTATTAACCGTATTTGTGTCAGCCTATCATTGTATTCATGCAGTCTTTCTAACTTATACTTCACGCCAGCGATTCAATTCGGCGTAGAGACTGGGTCTTGACCTTCAAATACTTCCCATGTAAGATTATAAGATAACTCACACACCTACTTACCAGAGAGTAAAGTTCCATCGCTTTAATGCAACCCAAAAGATTATAATTATGTTCTACTGAGCAGTAAAAGATGTGATATGATCTGTGTTGTTCCTCAAGAAGACGAGGCGAGCACAGAGGTCACTAAGATACCGCTCAGTAACGAGATGAGACCCTCATGGTCATCGCTGAGTTTATCATCTTTCTATTTCATATTTCATTAGTCATCGGTACAAAATGTTAATCAGTTAAGAAAAGCTTTGGTTATGTTTGGCACTTACCTGTACACAAGTGCAGCTACAGGAGTCACTCCTGAAAAACACGATACAAGTATTAGGGGAATAATTATATAATCAAACACCCACACACACACACAGTATGTTCTTTTAAATTAAAGGGCATTTAACATTATGTTAAAGAGACTATATCTGAATCTCTCGTTAATTAGTGCGAATTAAACATATTATTACTATTATTCAAATTATTCTTATTTGTGTCGGCTACTAAGTGATATCTGCTGGGTAATACTTGGTTATAATAATGGTTAATATCACGTAGTATGTAATATAAGGAGAGCCTATCTCATGTTGCTCTAGTTCCAACCACCGTCCACTTCATACAATATTTGGGAGAACCTGGAGACAGAGCAACACTGGAGGCATCAACGTAACAGTGTAGCGAGTCACACAAGTATCAGCACTAGGATTTCTATTCTTAATGTACGTAAATGGTCTCCCAGGAGGAATTAAAACTTGTGTGTCATTGTTTGGTGATGATGAAACCATACCAAACGCATAATACTATTTTCTAAACGGAACAAACGTGCAAACAACAGCTAAACAGAAACACCTTTTAGCCAGCATTTAACTAAACTTGTCGACGCCAGAGGTGCACATAAACCAAGGAACTTCGAGACTATATGAAATCTCCAAATAGCACTGAAAAATCTAAACAAGGAATTAGGATGACATACACAAAATATGTACGATTCACCAGAGTATGCAGCCCTAGCACGGAGCCCTCACCTGATTAAGCATATGGAAAATAAAAACAGAGAAGTTCCTTGCTACAGGACTTGATCCAAAGCTGAGAAGCATGCACTCTGAAGATAAACTCAAGAAGCCCAACCTGACGAACCGGGAGAAGGATCGAGGCAACAGGATTAAGAAATATAGTTCAAATATGAACTGATGCTTCAGGCACAAAAGGCCTAACAGCGCGCGTGTTGAGTGTTTCTGACATTTATCCATTTCCGTTATATATGATCTTTCAGTCTCATAATGTGACCTTATTACCGTGTGGTGTGTGCGACCTTATTCCACTCTGCCACATACCACAACCGTGATAAGCGATCATGCTGCACCTCTTCGTATCGCTCGTATCTCTCATTATCATCATAATCAATATATTTGTGTTACCAAGACATTATCACAATACTTGGAATCTCAAAAAAAAAGAAACACCACTTAAACAGAACGACTGTTTCTACAAGAATTTAAAGCCTTCCCTTATAAACATATTGGTAAGATTTAAGCGAACACGCTACCACAGTTTCCAAAGACGCAGAGAGGACCCAAGAGCTGAAGCTTAGCCCCCCCCCAAACACAAACACGTAATCAGAAACTCGGATAATTATACATCTGGTCTTGTTTCATCTATGGTGAGATAAAACATTATTTTGTATTAAAATCTAAGGAACGGAACCCATGCTAGCACGCACACGAATGCAAGTACATAAATGCACTGCATGTACCCTCTCACGCATTATACGCAAAAACGAATGGTTGCTTCAACTACTTAAGGGCAAAGTAATAAAGGCGGGAGGTAGGGAAAACAGACGTGAGACAAATGTACCACCTGGGAGGATGCTGTTTAAAGAACATGAAGAGAAGACCCAGGGGGGGACATCATGTTAAACCTGTCACCTGGATGCCAGGGACAGGTGACCAGCTATTCAAGGAACCTCACGAAGACGAGGACCAGGGAAGAGCTATCCACACCTGTCACTTGAAACACAAGGCAGGATAACACCAGTGGCTTACGCTAACTTAACACACAAATTATCTTCAGATATTTGAGCAAGCTCCCTCAAATCGCTGTTCACTAGACATGGTCGACTAGTGGTCAAGTACGCAGCACCAGTGTGCAACTCTCGTCTGGTCTCAAAATAAGACAAGAGAGGGAAGACTGCAGGAGTTAAATATGATTACTTTTGAAATTAAAATCAAGAGATGCAGCTCAACCCAGCAAATTTAAAATTGGTTATTATGAATGAATAATTCTTCCCCAAACACACACACACAAACACAACATTATATATATACAAAATATTTTTTTTTACCGTGGTGCCTATCATGAGATAAAGCTTATTGACTGACTGAATGCTCCCCCCCCCCTCCCCACCTTCCCCAGAACAAACAAAAAATGAGATGAAACTATTTCCTTATCTTATCAAGCACAGCGGCGTGACCTGTATATTCAGTGTTCACACCAGTCTTTTTTACCAGACCAACCAAGCTTATTGCAATCTTATTTACGGTGACGACCTGCCATCACAAATGTAATAAGTGCTGAGGGAAGACAAGAAGAGTCTTGGTGAAAGAGGAATGTAGCGGAGGAGCACAAGGTACTCTTGGAGGAGTAATAATGCAAGTATTATGGAGTTCACAGGGTGAGGCAACTTCTACAAGCAAATAAAATATTGTTGACGAAATACTTACATATTAGAAATGAGAGAGAGAGAGAGAGAGAGAGAGAGAGAGAGAGAGAGAGAGAGAGAGAGAGAGAGAGAGAGAGAGAGAGAGAGAGAGAGAGAGAGAGAGAGAGAGAGAGAGAGAGAGAGAATGTTTATTCTCCATTTTATGAAGGACCTACCTACGGTTTAGCCTTACAGAGAAAAATAATTTTGCCAAACAGCTGAGAGAAAATTCATTGCTGGAACAACTCTACTAAAATCATCCTCACTATCACGTAATTTGTGGGCACCCAGCTACCTGCCGCCTCACACAACACACTCCAACACTGTTGTGGGCACCCAGCTAGCTGCCTCACACAACACACTCCACCACTGTTGTGGGCACCCAGCTAGCTGCCTCACACAACACCACCACTGTTGTGGGCACCCAGCTGGCTGCCTCACACAACACACTCCAACACTGTTGTGGGCACCCAGCTAGCTGCCTCACACAACACACTCCACCACTGTTGTGGGCACCCAGCTAGCTGCCTCACACAACACCACCACTGTTGTGGGCACCCAGCTAGCTGCCTCACATAACACACTCCACCACTGTTGTGGGCACCCAGCTAGCTGCCTCACATAACACACTCCACCACTGTTGTGGGCACCCAGCTAGCTGCCTCACACAACACCACCACTGTTGTGAGCACCCAGCTAGCTGCCTCACACAACACACTCCAACACAGTTGTGGGCACCCAGCTAGCTGCCTCACACAACACACTCCAACACAGTTGTGGGCACCCAGCTAGCTGCCTCACACAACACACTCCAACACAGTTATGGGCACCCAGCTAGCTGCCTCACACAACACACTCCAACACAGTTATGGGCACCCAGCTAGCTGCCTCACACAACACACTCCAACACAGTTATGGGCACCCAGCTAGCTGCCTCACACAACACACTCCAACACAGTTATGGGCACCCAGCTAGCTGCCTCACACAACACACTCCAACACAGTTATGGGCACCCAGCTAGCTGCCTCACACAACACACTCCAACACAGTTATGGGCACCCAGCTAGCTGCCTCACACAACACACTCCAACACAGTTATGGGCACCCAGCTAGCTGCCTCACACAACACACTCCAACACAGTTATGGGCACCCAGCTAGCTGCCTCACACAACACACTCCAACACAGTTATGGGCACCCAGCTAGCTGCCTCACACAACACACTCCAACACAGTTATGGGCACCCAGCTAGCTGCCTCACACAACACACTCCAACACAGTTATGGGCACCCAGCTAGCTGCCTCACACAACACACTCCAACACAGTTATGGGCACCCAGCTAGCTGCCTCACACAACACACTCCAACACAGTTATGGGCACCCAGCTAGCTGCCTCATATAACACACTCCACAAATGACCTTGAACTAGCAAGGTGCTTCTGGTTGTGCAATAAAGATGAAGAACTTTGGGCAGGTATCAGAAAGGTACTAAGGAGAGTAATAAATGATAAAAATAATCAAGAAAACAAGGATGACCTCTTGGATAGTCTACCAAAAATATATAAAACATGGGAGCAAGAGATAGTGTATCAAAAAATGCAGAATGTCCATACCACAACAGATGACTCGAAACTATCTAGTCACCCACATGGTGCTAAGCCAGACCCATCCCCCAGTCATAGCACTAATACCCACAGTGCTGGTGCTGGCCCAGGCTCCCCCAGTCATAGCACTAATACCCACAGTGCTGGTGCTGGCCCAGGCTCCCCCAGTCATAGCACTAATACCCACAGTGCTGGTGCTGGCCCAGGCTCCCCCAGTCATAGCACTAATACCCACAGTGCTGGTGCTGGCCCAGGCTCCCCCAGGCATAGCACCAATACCCACAGTGATGGTGCTGGCCCAGGCTCCCCAGTCATAGCACTAATACCCACAGTGCTGGTGCTGGCCCAGGCTCCCCCAGGCATAGCACCAATACCCACAGTGATGGTGCTGGCCCAGGCTCCCCCAGTCATAGCACTAATACCCACAGTGCTGGTGCTGGCCCAGGCTCCCCCAGGCATAGCACCAATACCCACAGTGATGGTGCTGGCCCAGGCTCCCCCAGTCATAGCACTAAGGTTCCATGCTTTCCCAGCCTCCTCACTATATTCAAAACACTCCCGCCTCCCCCATGGCCAGAGTCGACCTCTCCCCCCGCACATCCGCGCATGCGCAAAGGGAACTCTTGGTTCTATCCTATTGTCAAATATATTTTGGACTCATATCGACACATTAAACACCTATTAGGCACTATAGTTTCGGAAAATTAAAAATTTTCCACACTCCACTACTATTGCGGGCATCCAACTGACTGCCTCGCACAACACCACTACTGCTGTGGGCACCTAGCTGGCTGCCTCGTACAACACCACTACTGTTGTGGGCACCCAGCTAGCTGCCTCACACAACACACTCCACCACTGTTGTGGGCACCCAGCTGGCTGCCTCGCACAACACTACTGTTGTGGGCACCCAGCTAGCTGCCTCGCACAACACTCCACTACTGTTGTGGGCAACTAGCTGACTGCCTCGCACAACACACTCCACCACTGTTGTGGGCACCCAGCTGGC